ATTTTAAAAAAAAAATTATTTCAGTATTATATGAGAAAAAAGGCTGACTTTAATCTCAGATTTCTGGCTGAATACTGACATCTAAGAAACATGTTAACATCAAACTGTAGCCATTTCTGTTTTAGAGACCAACTCTTGTTTTAATCTCCTTCTGCTCCTCCATTAATGAAACAGCATCACCAGGGAACCCTTGGACACATAAAAAGTTGCCTAATTCTGTCATTTTCCACCAATGTGTTACTGACCCTCCCAAACAACTCACATCTTTGTCAGTGAAGCTGAGTGCTCCCACATCTCTTCCTTCATGGTGCCCATCTACATTTAGATCCAACATTCTGAGATTAAAGTCAGAATTCTAACTTTTTCCCCATATTAAACTGAAATAAAATCTAAAAATCAGTCACCTTTTTTATTTTTTTCAGTGTCCCTAATCCTCCTCCGTAAATTCTAGATTGAATTTTTTTCTCCAAATTTCTATTTAAACGTGTCCTTTGCCTGCAACAATAGTGGAGCAGAATTCACTCTATAATTTAACATTAGCATCTTTTTTCCTGCCTTTTCTGCCTGTTAACCAACAATGTTTGTAGTTCTGATCCATGTTTGATCCACCGGCTCCTATAAAGGAGACAGATGGCTCTGTTTGCTTTGGTTGAGTCAGCAGATGACGCTGTTCACTGTTTACTCTGCTGTCTAAATAATATATACATCCATTTAGAAAAAAAAAAAAAAAAAAAGCAGGTTTTATGGAATGGGCAGAAGTGTGTTTGTGTCTTTTAGTGATATTGCTTTGAAGTCAGCAGAACTACTGCGCCATGTTAAATGACTGATTTAAATCCAGCTGAAAAAAACAAAACAAACATCCAGTAGTGTTGAAATGGGATGTGATGACAAAGTGCCACCAATAGAGGGGGCTACTTGCACACAAGTCTGAACAGAAAAATGCTCCCATGTGTTTAATGTTTCCCCATCAGGTGTCACCACAGCACCCCTGTGGTTTGCTGTAGCTTTATATAAGCATTAGTTTCCCCTTTATCTCTATTTTATTAGTGCTGCTTTCTGGTATTAAAAGGTCACTTATTAAACTTTTTCCAAACACTTCAATAAAAGGAGAAAAACCTTTCAACCTTCCAAAAGAAAAGTTCCCTACTCTGTTTATCCTTTTTAATATTTACTGTCAGTAATCTAGCGCTTTCAAAGGGCAGTATAAATGTATATATATTTTTGTGCTGGGTGTGCATCTTCATGGTTTCTCTGTCTGTTCCCAGATGCTGCAGGACTGTCCCAAAGCACGCAGGGAAGTGGACCTTCACTGGAGGGCTTCGCCGTGCGCCAATATCGTGCGCATCATCGATGTTTATGAGAACCTCTATCAGGGCAAGAAGTGTCTGCTTATTGTCATGGAGTGGTGAGCGCACAGTTTGGCTACACTCTGTACAATGTTCTCCATGTTGTTTTTACCTTTTCTGGAGCAAAATTTAAATTAATATCAAAATCATGTTGGATTTGAGCTCCAGTTGTCTGACGTGACATAAAATGGAAGAAAAACAGTTTAAATAGATTTAATTTGACAGAGTTTAACTGAAAGGTTTATGTTTGAGGCATATCCACAGGCCTAACTTTCTGAAGGACTGGTGTTCTTGCGCTGCTCCCATGTCCCGCCTCCCAGTGTGACATCTTCGGATCTGTCG